TATGATTAAACTCCAAAAAGATTAATCTATATTTTCTAGATTTTATTCAATGACTGTATGTGATTTAAAAAGCATTTAGAAAAGAGAGGTAGGCAGAGGTCCTCAAACTTTTTAAACAGGGGGCCAGTTCACTGTCCCTCAGACCGTTGGAGGGCCAGACTATAGTTTAAAAAAAACTATGAACAAATTCCTATGCACACTGCACATATCTTATTTTGAAGTAAAAAAAACAAATGTTTTCGGAGGGCCGCATGTGGCCCACGGGCCGTAGTTTGAGGACCCCTGGAGGTAGAGAATGAGTCCAGAGGTCCTACAAGGGAAAAATAAACCCATGGAAGCCCTCAGGCAATGTTTCTCAATCTGGATGCATAGTAGTATCACCTGTGGAGTTTTAACAACATCTCAATAACCAGGCTGCCCCAAGACCAATTAAATAAAAATCTCTGGGGCTAGAAGCCCAGCTTCAATAGTGTTCAGAGCTCCCAAGTATTTTCGATGTGTAGCCAAGGTTGAGAACCACTGTCCCAGGAGACCTTCTACATTTCCTTGCACTTGGTAGGCCATGGGTCCCCACAACCAAGGGAGGCCCCAAGAGAAACTTCGTGTTCCTCGGCCCCCAATATCAACATGACTTTATTCATATTTCAGAATATTTTAGAAATGGACCAGGGCTAGAAATTACTTTGGCCACTAGATGGATTTAAGAAGAAATGGCGGGCCTAGCTGGTTTGTCTCAGTGGATAGAGCATTGGCCTGTGGACTGAAGGGTCCTGGGTCCAATTCTGGTCAAGGGCACATGCCCAGATTGAGGGCTCGATCCCCAGTAGGGGTCATGCAGGAGGCAGCCAATCAATGATTGATGTTCCTATCTCTCTCTCTTTCCCTCTCCCTGCCTCTCTGAAATCAATAAAATATATATTTTTAAAAAGAAGAAGAAGAAGAGGAGGAGGAGGAGGAGGAGGAAGAGGAGGAAGAGGAAGAGGGGGGGAACAGGATGCCAGTTAGAATATCTGGGTTCTTTGTGTCATCTAAGAGCTAGTTGCTCTTCTCTGAGCCTCAGGATCCGCACACCTCTTGCTGTTAGGATTAAATTAACTAAAATCCATGAAAAGAGTTTTGCAAAATGTAAATTACTATATAAGTATTATTATTTTTAGTATTTTATAACTAATAGCATGAAGAATGTGCTCAGAGAAAGATGATATCTGAGGAAAACACAAGAAAGATGGACTTACTCCCCTATAGGAGACCTCAGCCTCAGGATGGACAGGGAGACCAAAGCTCAACAAGAGGGATAAATCTGTGAGCTGATAGCAAAAGCAACCTGACAGGCCAAACATGAAACACTTCTTTCTCAGAAACCCAGAGAAGAGACTCTGAGAAAGATCTTCCCTTTGCTTTTCTGTTGGCTTCCAGGAATTTATACCAAAGTAGTGATGTCCCAGAATAAATAAGTTTTCTTCTCATAATTAAGCCAGAGATTCTAGGAATGGGCTGAACACAAGGCTGAATTCATTACTGAGATTGCTTGCAATTTAATTCGAGTCCTAAAGAGGTGATCCCTATGTGTCATCAAAAAATAAGTTTTGCATCTAGACAACAGTCTACATATATCTCTAGATTGACTTTTTTTTTTCCTCTGCACTTCATTTATTCTCTGAAAATCATGGGCCATGGAAGGAATTTCAATGCAACACTGTCCATGGGAGGAACTCAACATTAGATAGGGCCATCTGAGAGACCATTCGACATGGGTAGTGACTGAAGAAAGTTGAGAGCCCCTTAAGAACAGGAACCTTAATGTTGGACCCAAAAAGTACACAATGAGTCAATGCCTTGGAAGTGCCTCCTGCAGGCATAGTTCTTAGCTCATGCTAGGAAATCAGTAAGTATCTGTGGGTTGAATAGCACTGTAACCAGGTCTAACAAACTAAAAAATGTCCACTGTTGTGCAAGTGTGTTTCCCTTTTGTTCACTTTAGGCTATCCAATATTGGCTGCAACTTCTCACATAAAGTGGATTTATTGTCCCATATTCTCAGGGTCTACACTGAAGATAAACCATAGCATTTTTATGGCACATTCTTGTTGTATTACGTAATTGAATCTTCAGGAGTTATGACTGTTGCAGTAATCCAGGCAAGAGATAAAGGAAATCTAAATAGTAAGAGTGACAGTGGGAAGAAGGAAAGTGGGAAACTTTCAAACCAGGTTTCTGGCTTGGACACCTGAGTGGATGGTGATGCTATTTACTGAGACATGCAGGAGGTATAGTGTTGAGGGAAAATAGGATGAGTTTAGTTATGGACATGCCTAGTTGTAGATACCTGTCTATCATCCAGGTGGCAGTGTTGAGTAGACCATTGGATACATAGGTATGAAACTCAGAGAAGGCAAATTCTTGAACACCATCAGCATATAGCAGTAATAGAAATCCAGAAAGGAGAAGAACAGTAAGAACAGTTTCAGGGAGAAGGATCTTACAGAAACCAGCAGCAGAGGATGGAGGAGAAGCTGAAAATGGACACAGCAGAAAAGAATAGAGGGTAGTATAGAAGGGGAAATGAAGTCCAGTGAAAGATTTTTAAAGAGAGGAAAGACATGTTTAAATGCTAATGGGAAAGGATAAAGTGAACCTAGAAGGCAGCACTGTATCTGTCCATGACCATACCTGGTCACTACTTTTACTTCTGTCTTTCAAATGTAGAACAAGTCTCTTTGTTGACGGACTCTAACTCAGAATCGTACAAAAATGAAATTCTAGGAAATGTAGTTCTCAGTTCATCCACACCCTTGTCAACTTGGTATCTACACACACTTCTGTAGACATATATAACTTCCAAATAAAAACACCAACAAGACCATGCTTTTGTATAACAAAATTCAACTGTCTACACTGGTACAACTGAAAATACACAAAAATCTAATAAAAGGATACACAAAGTCTACTTTGTCCATTCGAAAGGGCAAAATTTTGCCATCCACCTGGCACTAAACTGTGTCTTCAAGAGGCTACTACATAATTCAAGCACGTCAGCTACTTCCAGATGATGGGAAAACTAGTACTTCACCACTCATTATCTGCAAAATAAGTTCTTTAGTTTAAAAAAGAGAGAGACTGTATGGATACCATGATGATGAATAAACCATTCTGTAAGTCTTTAGATGGGGTAGGGGTGGTTGAAAGAAACACCATGGGAAGGAAAGGCAAATCTCTTTCCAAAAAAAGTATCTGTTCTAGTGAAAACAATGACCTTTCACTTCCGTGGTGGAAACAGCCGAATGTAATCAGCCTGATGCCAGGTGGCCTGAAAAGCAGTGTCATATCCCCAGTTGGTGTTGATCTTCACTATTAGCAGTTGGGGACTCAGCGGTAGCTTTAATGAGAGGAAGTCCATGTAGACAAGATGACCTGTTTTGTAGATTCAGTCAGCCTCTTTCACCATCACTCCTGTCCTTGCCCAATCTATTCATATATAAAGGGGCCGTGGTCATCTTGTCTACCTGATTAATAAGATCCTTCTCTGTTAAGATTGCTCTTGGTGAACATTCAACTGGCACAGCAGTATTATAATATTCAGAGGGGACTATCCTCATATCTCTTCTCCATATTTCATTTCCTCCAATTTTCTAATCATCTTCCTTCCAAGTCCATAACCAATCAACCAAACCCTTAGTCATTGCTCATAAATTAATGTAATCCATACCTTTGGCCATTTCTCCTTCTAGGCTAATGAACTAACCAGGTGCAATGGTTGTAGTTTGGCCCACTGAGAAAATTTCTCTTTCACATTGTCATTCATGGCCATACTTCAGTGGTGGTGTAATGCTGTAGGGTAGGTATCCAACTTCAGTTCTGCCAATAATTTTGGTGGAAATACCTGACCGATTTTTTTCTTCCTTAATCAGATGATCATAAAGATTTCCCCATGAGACCACAGAGGCAGATTGAAAGAGGAGACCCAATGTAGCAGAAACAGCCTTTATGGTAATATGAGCCACTTATTAATGAAATTTATTTATGTCTTCAGGACCTGCTTGAGCTGATCTCTTACATATCATTCCCACTTGATGGTGATATCTCAGAAGTATATAGTAATTTACTATTATTACTTATAAACTTATCACAGGTATGCCACATTCATTTTTTATTATATTAAGTCAGTTTTACTTATTTATTTTTTAAATTTTATCATTATTGTTGGAAGTATTACAGATTTCCCTCCCTGCCCCTCACCATTGACCCTTCCTCCCCCTACTCCCATCTCCTACTCAGGCCTTCCCCACACTATTGTCTGTCTATGGGCTATTCATATCTGCATATAAATTTATTGGTTAATCTCTTCCTGCCCCCCCCCAAGTCAAGTTTTATTTTTTAATGTTATATCTTTTATTTATTGCACTAACCATCCAGTGTCCTAATTCATGCTATTTCTGAATTTAGGTCATATTTTCTGGAGTTTGTCAACCTATATAGTCCTCATTACCAGGAACATTTTAGCACCAGGTGGCAGCAAAATCTGAGAGCTGAGATAAAATTCTTGGCAGGAAAGTAAACAACTAATTAAGAATTTATCTTAAACCTCAAGATGGTTAATAAGGAGTAGCAAATGCATTTCTTCCCCACTCCCCTTGTTTCTATTTAGATATCTCCCTCCCTCTCATTTTAGTGAGTGATTATCCAAATTGCGCATATACCCTCCCCCTGCCCCCATACACTCACATATACCCTTACAAACACAGAGAATACCCCCCAGACAGCCAAGTGGATTGTCCTGGTACTTAGCTTCAAATGGACAAAAACTAGAACAGCCCAGAGTATAGAAAGCCAACAGAAGAAACCAAATTGGAGTCTGTGAGGAAAATCAAGGATCTAAAGGACCAGAGAACAATTTCAAACACCAATTCCAACGGGCCCAAAGCAGAACCAAAGTCGGGTAACTTAATGAAACAAAGGGGAGATGTCAAGCAAGAACAAGTAAAAACGTAACAGTAACTCACCTGTAGAGGTCAGCGAGGGCAGGTGCTTGCTCGGTCATTTTAAACGGGCCTAAAGAGACAAAGAAACGAGTCATGCTTTCTTCTGAAATGTCTCCAGCTGTTGACTACATCACCCCTACAAGATTCTCCATTCTTTACGGGGCTGGCTAAAGAACAGAGTTCTGGTGTCCTTCTCTGATTTTACCCTGAACTTGCTAGGTAATCCAAACTGGCTGTTTCAAGCCTGAGGTGACTCCCTCATCAGGGGAGAGTTAGTGCTAATCTAGTCTTGCCAGAGGAGATGGTAGTGATTTGGGATGGCAGGTTCAATTTGCACTTATTTAAGAAGCACTGCCTTAGTCACCATAGATTTTATCTTGCAAGAGCCTGGTACTTAAGCTGTCAAATTGGATAGAGATGCATACTTTTTAAACACAAATACAAAATCATCTTAAAGTCCTCTAACCAGAGTTTTTAGTTGGAAAGTAACTCAAAATTGCCAAGCAACTTTACTTTCAGAGGCTTCCTTAATCATCCTATACTTCCAAATAGTATTTTTCAATAATTGTATTTTGTAAGCATTTTATAAAAAACATAGGTGTTAGAGCTTTTAGCCATTTCCAATCCTTTTTCCTACTTGTTATAAAGATTCACAATTCAGTCCTTGGAACATGTATCAAATTCTCAAATTAGATACCATCATTTGAAGAATCTCTAAAAGGTTTGAAAGGGGATTTGTTGTAATCTTTCTTTAGTCCTGAAGCTTTCCACACAACTGCATATTTCACTGTATGTCTGTAAAATGAATGTTCACGTCATATGTCTAAAGACAAACAACAGTCTTTGTTCCATGGAGCATTTCAAAAGATTCACAGCTGTTAATAGGTGGGAGAATTCCAGCTTTTGCTCTTGGGAAGAAAGGAACCATTGTGGTCAGTAACTGCATCTCGAGAAGTAGCTGTATTTATTTCTAGCCTTGCAAACCAAGAGGTGGACTGTCTGCACAGAGTGGATATTTGTGGACAACTAGCTACAGGATGAAATCAAAGTATCCCATGCTAAAGGGGTTGCTAGTTGCCCAGAGAGGCCTCAAAGTGTCCTGGTGTGATTTCCATGTTCCTGAGGTTTCACCTCTAGAACCTGACTTAGCAGCATGGTCAGAGTGAATTCCTTCCTTCCTTCCTTCCTTCCTTCCTTCCTTCCTTCCTTCCTTCCTTCCTTCCTTCCTTCCTTCCTCCCTCCCTCCCTCCCTCCCTTCCTTTCCTTTCCTTCTTCCTTTCCTTTCCTTTCCCTCCCTCCCTTCCTCCCTTCTCTCTCTCTCTCTCTCTCTCTCTCTCTCTCTCTCTCTCTCTCTCTCTCTCTCTCTCATACCCACTAACACGTTAATTAACTTAAAACCAGGGGCTTGGATCCTCTGATAAATATATTCTTCACGTATAGACAAATCTACATAGAAAGCCTAATTATTATCAAAAGTCTGCTGCATATAAGCATAGACTCAGAACAAGGGGAATTAACACACGAGTCCAGTATTCAATAGCATTAGCTTTGAAATATAGCCCAAAAATCTAATGAACAAAATAAACTGATGAACAAAATAGATCCAGAGACATAGAAGCGTAGAACAGATTGTGGAATCTCAGAGGGGAGAGAAGGGGCCAGGGAGAAAGTGCGTGGGTGGGAAGTGATCAAGCAAAGAACTTGTATGCATACATGCATAATCCAAGGAAACAGACAATAGGGTGGTGAAGGCCTGGGGCAAGAGATGGGGGCAGGCTAGAAGGGGTCAATGGGGAAAAAGGGAGACATATGTAATACTTTCAACAAAAAAGATCATAAGGAAAAAAAAGCAAGAAATATAGCCCAACACACTTGTCTCCATAAGGAACAAGACAGATGAAATCCCTCACAGTTTCTTTATCTAGACTTGACCTAATAACTTTTCTAGTTCTGACCTTTTATATTCAACTTCAACTTGCTTTCCATTTTCTTCTGGTGAAAATGGAAGCATACTAGGAACTCAAAGAGTCAGACAAACCACAACAGGAGAGAACTGTGGCTCATGATATGTGAGCAGGAAGAAAGAGTGTCCTTAATTGCTCTGCATGACTTTGTTAACATAAAAACACTGAAACCTATAAAGAATTTTTGTGAGTTTATTTGAGCCAAACTGTTGACAATTCTCTGGTGATAATGCTCCAGAGATTGGCACGTTTTCATCTATTTTTATACATTGCAATCAAAGGAGGGGACATAGGTGGGTTACATGAAATCCACTGGTGATAGATTAGAGAGGCAGGAGAAAGCAAAGGGGGTGTGTGTGGGCGGGGGGGGGGGGGGGGGTGCTGGGATTGGATAAAAAGTAAAATGATAGACACATACTTAGGTGGGTACAAAATAGTCAACAGTCAACCATTAACATGATAACAATAACAAAGAAGGCCCCCAAGGGGAAGTTACAAGTTACCCAAACATTTCAAGGATATGTTATAATAGATGTAAAAGACAGATAGGCTCAGTTAAGGTAAAGGTTGACCTTGTCAGTGAAGATACCAGCCTAGGATGTAACTACCCACCATAACTGCTTTAGTTAAAGTTTGATTTCAGACCATTCTTTGTGGCTATTTTAGGTCGCTGGTTTGCAAGACTGCCATGCAGGCCTTCCCTGAACTTGTCAGGTTAGCATGTGGCCCCTTTCGTCCACACTTTAAATCTCTAGACCCACATATATCCTATCCCATAACATACAAGAAACACAGGCACTGCTTATGGTCTTCTGGGACATTTTTTGAGACATTATAGTTGAGAAGAGGTGTTTGAACTCTAGAAACGAGCATATGTTCTGATTTACTAAATAGAGAAATGTTTTGAGCCTAAAAAAAAAAAAAAGTAAGTCTAACATAAACCTCTGGAAGGGTTTAGGCAGATTGTTGAGCATAGAAAAGAAGGCAGGGACCCCTAGGAAGCAATAGCAATACAAGTTCACTACAAATGCATCAGCCATTCATCAGACAATGACAGTAACCCAGTTCATCATTTATGATCTAGGCTGGGTTATTAGCAGATATATTTACCTATTGGTTTACCAGGTTTAAGACCAAACCCAAATGTAAATAATAAAATCAACTCGATGGTATGTGATGTTCTTTCTATGTTCCAAGCCAGTTAATGTAGCACCAATTCTGTGTTCTTTAGAAGTCTGGGTAAAACTGTAGCGAGTCCGTCTTGACTCTGTGACCTCCTGTAGTCACCCTGAAGGCAAAATTTTAGTTCTGATAACAGAGCCTTCATTTGGAACGTCTCTAAATCCCTCTTTTTTAATTCCCTCCTGAAGTTTACTTTCCGTCTTCACAGGTTGAAAATTATTGCCCTTTGAAGAATAAATTTAAATTTTTTTTAGAAATAGTCAAGTCTATTAAAAACAAAAAAAAAAGGATAAACTCTGATCATCTAGTCAATTGGATGAGGGGGTAGGGAAGTGAGGAAGGCAAAGATTAAGGGAATATATATAAACTAGGAAAATTGATTTACTGGGGGGGGGGGGGCTTATAAATTGGCCCTGAAAGCAATCTCTAAATAGGGTTTTTGTTGTTTGTTTTGTTTGCTTTTGTTTTGGTGTTTGTTTGTTTTCATCACCATTGCCACGCGAAATCATACAATAATCATCCTAAGTTTTAAGCAAAAAAAATGGGACTAGGGCAAAACATTCAAACACTTTGTCAGTGACAGGTAAAAATAAATAGAAGCATACTAAAAAGAGTAGTGCGGGTTTGTTTGTTTTTTTAATATTTTTACTGATTTCAGAGAGGAAGGGAGAGAGATAGAAACATCAATGATGAGAGAAAATCGTTGATTAGCTGCCTCCTGCACGCCCCCTACTGGGGATTGAGCCCGAAACCTGGGCATGTGCCCTTGACTGGAATTGAACCAGCCAGGACAAGAGTAGTGCAGTTTTACACCTGTTAGGTGATTGAGAAGTTCTTAATTCTATAAAAAATATGGGACTTTACCTTGAAAAAGACCTGAAGTTTGCTTGTGGAAATGGGCATCGGAAGGGTTTAAGTTTGTGAGTTACTGTGATGTGCAGGAAGGAGGGTTATCTTTGTGGTGAGAAGGGTTTCAGGGAGTCAGGGTGAGGGCTGCAGAGTTTATCTGGCCCAAACAGACCAAGCTTTGGCCACGTGAAGGGAGGGCTCTGATCTGGCTGGGTCTATGAGGAAAAAATAGCCCCTGTCTTAGAGTCAGTCTGGGATTCTGCCCTGATCTCCTGGAGGGCTCGAGCTGGGCAGGGTGGGCCACCACAAGTTCAAGTTGGGCTAAACAGGGCTTTTTTTGTGTGCTTGTCTGTTTTGTTAGAGTGGAAGGGAGGGAAAAAGGGGGAGAAGGAGAAAGAGAAAATCAATGTGAGAGAAACACATAGATTGGTTGCCTCTTGCATGAGCCCAACTAGGGCCGAGGATTGAACCTGCAACCCAGGTGCATGCCCTTGACTGTGAATCACAGGCTGAGGTCTAACCACTGAACACACAGCCAGGGCTTTTTTAATGGAGGAAAATACTTTTGCATTTTTAAAAATATTTTTTATTGATTTCAGAGAGGCAGGAAGAGGGAGAGAGAGATAGAAACATCAATGACGAGAGAGTATCATTGATCAGCTGCCCCCTACACGCCCCACACTGGGGATCGAGCCACAACCCAGTATATGCACTGACTGGGAATCGAACTGTGACCTCCTGGTTCATAAGTCGATGTTCAACCACTGAGCCATACCAGCTGGGCTACTTTTGCATTTTTAAAGATTATTTTGCTTTCAGATGTTTAAAAATGCAAACTTAAAGTGATAAGGGAGATTGGATATAGGAAGATATGTAGACTTTTCTATATCTTCTTTTCTTCTGATCTAGCAATGTAATCTGAGCATTAACAGTATCTTTTAGTAACAGAACAGGTTTCACTCCACTTCAAATACATTTTTATATGTATGGTTTTTAAAAATCAGGATAACAGAATTTATCTTCTAATGTTCTGATAGGCTATGAACCTTACCTCTTTTATTTAAACTTAAATTGA